CCTAATTTCATCGATTTATCCTCAGAACTGAAGTTTCTCATCCCTGGAAACATTATCATAAACATTTTCCATACTCTGTCCTATATGTTCACATCCTTCCTATAGTGTGGTACCCAGAACTGTACACAGTACTCCAGCGGAGGACTTATACAAGTTCAGCGTAACCACCCTGCTCTTGTAATCTTTGCTTCCATTTATGAAAACTAGAATACTATTTGCTTTATCAACAGTTATGTCTACCTGTGCTGACATCTTTAATCGCTTATGCATCTGTACACATAGGTCTCATTGCTCCTGCACACGCTTTAGAATCAATTCCTTCATTTTTTTAATGCCTTTCCATGCTCTTTGTACCAAAACGTATCACCTCATACTTGTCCATATGAACTTACTTTGTCACATATCCACGCACTCCACCAACTGGCCAATGTCTTTTTGGAGTTTGACATTGTACTCCTCACAATCGACATTGCTCCCAAGTTTTGTGTCTTTGGCAAACTTCAAAATTGTCCCTCACACACCTAGAACTGGATCATTAATGTACAGGATGGAAAAGCAAGGGTCTCAAAGTTGACCCCTGGAGTTGTGTGCGGGAGAGGGTCTGTCATGGAGAGTGTGCTTCTGAGAGAGTTTGAGGGAGTGAATGTGCGTAATACACAAATTCCCCCTTCCTCCACAAACCCCCTCCCCCCGCCCAAGAACCTGTCCTCACAATGGACCAAGAAAGGAGAAACACGCAAGCTGAAAAGTAACCTGCTTCCAGCCCCTATTTCAGAAGAATTCCAATGGGACCAGTTCAGAGAGTTCAAGGTCGCTGTCAGTTCAAATCAACTGCTTAGTTTGGCCCTCATCACCTCTCCCTCCCCTGGTGACCAGCACATGAGACTTCGTCGGAATCTATCCAGCTCTTCTGGACTGAAAGGGAAAACAGGCTTCATTAGTTCAATCTGCAACTTGGTCTTTTTAAAATGGTTATTTTTATTAATTCTTTATTTTTTCAAACACTTTTATCAATTTATTCTGTTGACATTTTCTTTTCATCAGCCTGTTATGTTTCCTCCTGACATTAAGTTTTTTTTTTCAAATTCACGTTTAATGTTGAGTCCAACCAGAGTTCAGGCAGGTGCCTTCAGGGTCTCTTGCTGATGAAGAATGAGAAGCTGACAAGATGTCTCACTGTGGACGGCCAAAAGGCTTTAGAAATGGGAAATTCTGCAAATGCTCAACATGTCTATATCCATCAGAACTGGTTTGGTTTGTTTTATTGTAGTCACGTGTACCTCAGTACAGTGAAAAGTTTTGTTTTGCAAGCAGTACAGGCAGATCATAGCAAACAAGGACATGCAGATCGTAAGAGTACTTAGACAGAGCGAGGTTATGACTGCACAGAAGTTGTACAATAGCAAGGTCAACATTAGATTTGAAATTAGAGAGGCCCATTCAGCAGTCTAATAACAGAAGGGAAGAAGCTGTTCTTGAACCTGTTGGTTCAAGCTTCTGTATCTTCTGAGGTAGTAGACTTTCTTGCCAAGCTGGTGTGTTTGTTGCAGACGTTTCATCACCCTGCTAAGTAACATCATCAGTGCGCCTCCGGTGAAGCGTTGGTGTTCTGTCCTGCTTGTTATTTATATGCCTCTGTTTGCTGGGGTGGTTGGCATCACTTCCGGTTCTGTTTTTCAGTGGTTTGTATCTATGGGCCCAGTTCAATGTGCCTGTTGATGGAGTTCCGGTTGGAATGCCAGGCCTCCAGGAATTCCTTGGCGTGTCTCTGTTTGGCTTGTGCTATTATGGATCTGTTGTCCCAGTCACATTTGTGTCCTTCTGTGTCCGTGTGTATTGAGACCAGTGAGAATTGCTCGTGTCTCTGGGTGGCTAGTCGGTGTTCGCGTATCCCTATTGTCAGTTTTCTTCCAGTTTGGCCTATGTAACGTTTCTCACAGTCCTTGCATGGTATTTTGTATATTACATTAGTTTTATTGGTTGGGGGTATGGGGTCCAGTTGGTTTGTCAGTAGTTGTCGCAGGGCTGTCGTTGGTTTGTGGGATACCCTGATACCTAGGGGTCTGAGTAGCCTTGTGGTCATCTCTGATCTGTCTCTGATGTACGGTAGGGTGATTGGTGTTTCTGGCCATGTTGTGTCTTCTTGTTGTGGTCAGTCGCAGAGGTAACGGTGGACGTGATGGAAGAGGGTGCAGGTCATAGCTCTGTTTTTCTCTCTCCATGAAGACTCCCTGGCCTGATGAGTACTTCTGAGCATTTCTGTTTATGTTTCAGTTTCCCGGCATCTGCAGTACTTTGCTCTTCCATTATGTATTCAAGCTGAACGTTTATAAGTCTGGCTGGGAGTGTAAATGTTCAGTTATCAGAGCCCATTGGTGGAATAGAATGAGCATGTTATTGCAGGTGGCCTAGCTAATGTTTACTTGATGGAATTTTTATTGCGATTGTTGAACTTGGAAGTGAAACTTTTTTTTACATTATTCATTCATTTATTGCCCCACCCCTAATTGCCCAGAGGGCAGTTAAGAGTCAACCACATTGCTATGGGTCTGGAGTCACATGTAGGCCAGACCAGGTAAGGATGGCAGTTTCTTTCCCTAAAGGACATTAGTGAACCAGATGGGTTTTTCCGACAGTTGGGAATGGATTCATGGCTATCGTTAGGCTCTTAATTTCAGGTTTTTATTGAATTCACAAATCACCATTGGCCGTGGAAGGATTTGAACCTGGGTCCCTAGAACATTAAGTAAAAACTGGAAGTACTGCAGATGCTGTAAATCAGGAACAAAAACAGAAGTTGCTGGAAAAGCTCAGCAGGCCTGGCAGCATCTGTGAAGAAAAACTCAAGAGTCAGAGGAAGGGTCACCGGACCCGAAATGTTAACTCTGATTTTTTTTCTTCACAGATGCTGCCAGACCTGCTGAGCTTTTCCAGCAACTTCTGTTTTTGTCCTCAGAATATTACCTGGATCTCTGGGTTAATAGTCCTGCAAGGATACCAACTGGTTATTGTCTGCCCAAACTTCATACACCTGTCGAATACATCACTGTTAATGCAAGTTATTCTCATTTGTATGTAGGATTATGATTCAATATTTGTCGTGATCCTACAATTCAGTATTTCTGATGATGTTCAAGTCATTTTGGATATTGTTTCTGTCTGGATATTGCATAAGGCCAGGTTCAAAGTAACAGAATTGACTGCATAATATGAACAACCAAGTTGTATGTAATTGTCAGACAAAGCACTGGTTGTAAAATACTTAAAACTTGAGATTTTGATAGGCTTTAGAAATAGAGGGACAAAAGCCAAGAGATTTTATTAAGCTTGCACAAACAGTTTGACCTCACGGTGACTAACGTCCCTAACTTGGGCACACAAAGGATGTGGGAAGGGCTGGAGGTGGGGAGTGGAGAGGAAGGGATCCGGAAATGGGAGAAATATACCAGAGCTCATGATTCCATTCCTGGGCCCTGCGGCGTTGCGCTGGATAGACCACAAGTTCAGGATTTCCGTGTCAATCAGACAGTTGGCCATCAAAACATCTGCAGAATTGGGAATCGTAATCTCCAAACTGGCCGCCCCCATTTCCCACAGTACAACAGTGACTGCACTTCGAAGGTGCTTAATTGGTGCTGGGGTACTTTGGGATGGCTCCGGGACGTGACGGGCGCTATATAAATGCAAATCTTTTTTCCCTGCGCACTAACCGGTTCACACATACTATTGAGGATGAATGGCAAAATAGTGAATCCTTCCTTGTCCCCATTAAAACAAGACGGGGAAGAATTTTGCTCAGGTCACTGATGTAGCTTCGGTGAATATCAGCTGCTCCTCAAAAGGCACCACATTTTCTCCCCGGGGTAGGTGGGGAGAAAATAAATATAAACACTTGGAGACAGAGCTCCATTTTGAAATAGTCATGTTGGTACGCTTGCCTTTATTGGTCGGTGCATTGAGTATAGGAGTTGGGAGGTCATGTTGCGCCTGTACGGGTCACTGGTGAGGCCACTTTTGGAACACTGTGTGCAATTCCGGTCTCCCTGCTACAAGAAAGAAGTTGTGAAACTTGAAAGGGTGCAGAAAAGATTTACGAGGGTGTTGCAAGGGTTGGAGGGTTTGAGCTATAGGGAGAGGCTGAATAGACTGGGGCTATTTTTCCCTGGAGCTTCGGAGGCTGAGGGGTTGACCTTATAGAGGTTCATAAAATAATGAGGGGCATGGACAGGGTGAATAGCCAAGGTCTTTTCCCCAGGGTGGGGGAGTCCAAAACTAGAGGGGCATAGGTTTAAAGTGAGAGGGGAAAAATTTAAAAGGGACCCAAGGGGCAAGTTTTTCACACAGAGTGTGCATGGAATGGGCTGCCAGAGGAAGTGGTGGAGGCTGGTACAATTACAACATTTAAAAGGCATCTGGATGGGGACATGAATAGGAAGGTTTATAGGGATATGGGCCAAATGCTGGCAAATGGGATTGGATTAATGTAGGATACCTGGTCAGCATGGATGGGTTAGACTGAAGGGTCTGTTTCTGTACTGTATAGCTCTATGACCCTAGACAAGAACACTGTGTGTCATTGGCATGTTTTCTGTGTCGTTGATATTTTTCTACGTGTCATTAGCATGTTTTACTGTCTTTTCCCCCTCTTTTAGCCCAACTGGAGGCATCTCCCTGCCCCTGTCACACTTGCTGCATCGAGGTTTAGAAAGGATTGTGCAGGACAGTTTGTCAAAATCCTACCTCGGGCTGGACATTTACTTCCCAAACCTGAACCAATCCCCCGCCCTCATCCTCGGTGCACGGCTGGAACGGCAGCTCTGAAGCAGGTATAAAGACCAGCATCGAGTTCAGGAAAGCTCACTCACAGTCAGGAGGGCAAAATGGGATTTCAGTGCAGTGAGACTGTGCAGCAGAGAGGGAATAGCGTGAATTAAAGCTGCAGTGTTCGAGACACAGAGAAGCGAAAGTCGAGCAAGGGTCGATCCCTGCAAAAATTCCTGATGGGAGCAGCTTTCAGAGGAGGCTCTGCACTGTTTGCAAACACAAGTTCCCTGGGTATGGAGAGTCTGGCTGGAAACGGTGCAGGGGGCTGGGACATGAACGCCTCTGCAGGCTCCAGCACAGCGATTACCTCGGGAGCTGGGGACGTTGAGTTTCTGGACACCGCCACCATGATGCACATTTTACCCTCGGTCTATGGGATCCTGTGTATCGTCGGGGTCGGGGCGAACTGCCTGGTGATCTACACGCTGCTCGCCTGCAAAACCAAAGGGGTGTCAGACATCTACGTGCTCAGCTTGGCCACAGCAGATTTGCTGTTTCTCCTGGGAATGCCTTTCACCATCCACCAGCTGGTCAGGGACAGGGACTGGGTGTTCGGGCAGTTTATATGCAAGGTGGTAACTGTGCTGGATGTCACCAACCAATTCACCACAGTGGGCATTGTCACTGTGCTGTGTGTAGACAGGTAAGTGCTTTGGAAAGGGGGGCAGAATAGGAGAGATTCCAATCCCCCCTTCCCAAAACAAAAACACACACACACCTTGATCACCTCCAGATTCAAAAGAAAGCTTTCACGCGTTTTAAGTGCTTGCCAAAGTTGAGAGAGAATTTCTATGGTTATGCCCTACTTTGGTTAGTACTGGAGTAACAGGAAAGATAGGTGGATTCCCCCCGCCTAGGATTTCAAGGTGCGAGGAGAAAGATTTAAGACAAGAGACACCGAGGCAAATTTTTTATTTTACGCTGAGGGTGCTTCACATGTGGAATGAACTTCCTGAGGAAGTGGTGGATGTGGGTACAGTTTAAGGTACATTTGGATAAGTACAGGATTGGGAAAGGTTATGGGCTAGGAGCAGGCAAGTGGGACTAGTTTAGTTTGGGAACATGTTCAGATGGGCTGGTTGGACTGAAGGGTCTGTTTCCGTGCTGTATGGTTCTATGACTCTATGTTGTGAAACTAGAAAGGGTTCAGAAAAGATTTACATGGATGTTGCCGGGGTTGGAGGATTTGAGCAACAGGGGGGAGCTGAATAGGCTGGGGCTATTTTCCCTGGAGCATCCGAGGCTGACAAGTGACCTGATAGAAGTTCATAAAATCATGAGAGGCAAGGATAGGGTGAACAATCCTTTCCCCAGGGTAGGGGAGTCCAAAACTGGAGGGCACAGGTTTAAGGTAAGAGGGGAAAGATTTAAAAGGGACCTAAGGGGCAACTTTTTCATACAGAGGGTGGTGTGTGTATGAAATGAGCTGCCAGAGGAAGTGGTGGAGGCCGGTACAGTTACAACATTTAAAAGGCATTTGGATCGATATATGAGTAGGAAGGGTTAAGAGGGATATGGGCCAAATGCTGGCAAATGGGACTAGATTAATTTAGGATGTCTGGTCGGCATGGATGGGTTGACCAAACGGTCTGTTTCTTTGCAGTATATATCGATGACTCTAACTATTCCAGATCAAGAAAATAGCGACATTAACTGTTCAGACTGTATCTGATCATTTACCATCAATATCGTGGCTCCCAACAATCCTAACACGTTGATATTCGTTGTTGGTTTTGTTTTGCAAAGGGTATTATTATGAGTGATTAACTAAACACTGCCTAGATCTGCATGGAAATGCTTTTGGGATGAGGTTGATAATCAACTCTTTCAAAAACAAAAATCAGAGGGGCAGGGAAAAAAAGACATCGCTTATTCGATATCTGCTGTGAATCTGTGTAATCAGGGATTTTTTTTCAGCCAGGAACAAATTGTGTGAAAACTGAAAGAACTGTGGATGCTGGAAATCAGAAACAAAAACAGAAATTGCTGGAAAAACTCAGCAAGTCTGGCAGCACCTGTGGAGGGAGATCAGAGTTAACGTTTCAGGTCCTATTCCTGAGGAAGGGTCACTGGACCCAAAATATTAACTCGCATTTCTTTCCACAGATGCTGCCAGACAAATTGTATAAACATTTTCAGCAGTGGGTCTGTATTGTAGAGAACAAGATCAGAAATGTAGCCCTGTTGAGAGCTGCAGATGAGTGCTGTGCCCTCAAACAGGCAGTCAGCATCACAATGAATGAATGAATAAATGATTTATTTATTGTCACTTGCATTTTCCAGTGAATAATACAGTAAATTACAGCGAAAAATTTCAACTGTCACCACAAGTTAAAGTTCTAAATTGGAGGAAGGCTAATATTGACGGTACTAGACGAGAACTTTCAAAAGATGATTGGGGGTGAATATTTACAGGTAAAGGGACGGCTGAAAAGTGGGAAGCCTTCAAAAATGAGATAATGAGAGTCCAGAGACAGTGTGTTCCTGTTAGAGTGAAGGGCCAGGCTGGTAGTTGCAGTGAACAATGGATGACAAGAGGGTGGTACAGTGGCTCAGTGGTTAGTACTGCTGCCTCATAGCAGGGACCCAGGCTCAATTCCACCCTCGGGCAACTGTCTGTGTGGAGTTTGCACGTTCTCCCCGTGTCTCTGCAGGTTTGCTCCAGCTTCCTCCAAAGATGTGCAGGTTAGGGTGGATTGGCCGTGCTAAATTGCCCACAGTGTTCAGGGATGTGTAGATTAGGTGGGTTATAGGGAATGGGTCTGGGTGGGATGCTTCAAGGGTCAGTGTGGACTTGTTGGGCCAAAGGGCCTGTTTCCACACTGTAGGGATTCTATTTAAAAAAAATTGAGGTTTTCTTCAAGAATAAGAAGGAAGCATATGTCAGGGATAGTGAATCCCTACAGGAGTATAAGGGCAGTAGGGGTATATTTAAGAGGGAGATCAGGAGGGCGAAAAAGGGGACTTGAGATAGCTTTGGCAAATAGGTTTATGGAGAATCCAAAGGGATTCTACAAATACATTAAGGACAAAAGAACAACGAGGGAGAGAATAGGGTCTTTTAAAGATCAACAGGGCTGCCTGTGTGTGGAACTGCAGGAGATGGGGAGAGATACTAAACAAGTATTTTGCATCAGTGTTTACTGTGGAGAAAGATATGGAAGCTAGAGAACTTGGGGAAATAAATAAAGACATCTTGAACAGTGCCCATGCTACAGAGGAGAGGGTGCTGGATGTTTTAAAATGCATAATGATGGATAAATCCCTGGGAACTGATCAGGTGTACACTCGAACTTTATGGGAAGTTAGGGAAGTAATTGCTGGTCCCCTTGCTGAGATATTTTTATCATCGATAGTAATGGGTGAGGAAGACTGGAGGTTGGCTAATGTGGTGCCTCTATATAAGAAAAGTGGTAAGGAAAAGCCTGGGAACTGTAGACTTGTGAGCCTGACATCAGTTATTGGCAAGTTGTTAGAGGGTATCCTGAGGGACAGGATTTACATGTATTTGGAAAGGCAAGCACTGATTAGGGATAGTCAACATGGTTTTGTGCTTGAGAAATCATGTCTCACTAACTTGATTGAGTTTTTTTAAAGAAGTAACAAAGAAGATTGATGAGGACAGAGCAGTGAATGTTATCTTTATGGACTTCACTAAGGCATTTGACAAGGTTCCTCATGGTAGACTGGTTAGCAAGGTTAGATCACATGGAATACAGGGGGAACTAGCCATTTGGTGATGGTGGAGGGTTGCTTTTCAGACTGGAGGCCTGTGACCAGCGGTGAGCCACAAGGATCAGTGCTGGGTCCACTGCTTTTTGTCATTTATATAAATGATTTGGATGCGAACACAGGAGATATGATTTGTAAGTTTGCAGATGACACCAAAATTGGTGGTGTAGTGGACAGCGAAGAAGGTTACCTTAGAGCACAAAGTCAGAAGTTACGTGGCACCAGGTTATGGTGCAACAGATTTAGTTAAAATAACAAGGTTTTGGAGCATTTCTTCACCTGACAAAGGGGCTACGCTGTGAAAGCTTGTGATTTCAAATCAACCTGTTGGACCATAACCTGGTGTCATGTGATTTCTGACTTTGTCCAATCCAGTCCAACACCAGCACCAGTACAATGTGACCTTGATCAGATGGGCTGAGGAGTAGCAGAAAAGATTTACAAAGGATGTTGCCAGGGTCGAAGGGTTTGAGTTGCAGGGAGAGGCTGAATGGGCTGGGGCTATCTTCCCTGCAGCGTCAGAGGCTGAGGGGGTGACCTTATAGAGGTTTATGAAATCATGAGGGGCATGGAGAGGGTGAATAACCAAGATCTTTTCCCCAGGGTAGGGGAGTCCAAAACTGGAGGGCATAGGTTTAAGGTGTGAGGGGAAAGGGACCTAAGGAGCAACTTTTTCATGCAGAGGGTGGTGTGTGTATGGAACACACCGGAGGAAAAAGGTTGGGGTGGAGGCTGATACAGTTACAACATTTAAAAGGCATTTGGAAGGGTTTAAAGGGATATGGAACAAATGTGACTAGATTACCTTAGGATATCTGGTTGGCATGGATGAGTTGGACCAAAGGGTCTGTTTCCATGCTGTACAGCTCTGTGACTCTATGACTCTAGTCTGGCACCAATTTAAGAATAAAAAGGATAAAAGATATAACTGAAAGAGAGTTCTGAACCCTGAGCTGGCTCACCAACGACATTGCGCTGCCAGCCCTCCCCCACCGCCTTACTGCTGTCTGCACCAGACCTACCAAAGTAGGAGTGGCTACTCTTCAGGTACCATGTCGTCGCCGCTGGGCCCACCTCTCCGCTGCTGATATTGGGTCCTATTCTGAACCCACGCTGGCACCTCAACCATTAGTCCTCGGCTTTGCTGCTGGTTCAATGACACCAGAAGTCCCCGTTTCTGGGCCTACAGCGACCAGGAATCGCTGGCTCTGCTGCCAGACCAGGCCGCCGCTGTCGTCTCGCCAAGAGTCCCGCTCCGGCAGCCCTCCTCCTCCGAGATCTCGCATTGCCAGCGCCGCCATCTTGAACAGCCCGTTGCTGCCACCGCCTCCCACCACCAGAGGGGGCTCCCATTCCGTGCACGGCCCGCTCTGTCCGCCACGCACTGAATTCGCTGACTAACCCGTTGCAAAAGGCTCCAAAGAAAAGAAAAAGGAAAGAAATAAGTGAAGGAGAAAGACCAGAAGTAAAAAAGAAAGAAAGCTTGTGGGAGTCGATGAGCCCCAGGCAAGAGCCAACAAACAGCCATGGTACTCTGCCGCCATCTTGAATCTGGAGGAAATGGTCCTGAATCAGAGACTCAGGGGCTGATTGGAATTGGTTCTTGTTCCATTATTGAACAAGGAAAAAAAAAATGCTTGTGTGCGCGGTTAAGGTCTCTTCTGTTTGTAAGTTGTAGCACGGGAGATACATTGGTGGTAAATTTAATAAAATATATAAGTAAAATAAGTGAATATTACAATTAAATATCATTAAGGATGGCAGTTTCATAGAATCCCTACAGTGTGGAAACAGGCCCTTTGGCCCAACAAGTCCACGCTGACCCTCAGAGCATCCCACCCAGATCCATCCCCCTAATCTACACATCAGTGGACACTATGGGCAATTTAGCATGACCAATCCGCCCTAACC